CCTGGGGCAAAGTCTTTCAGTTTGTTTTCTTTCAAAAGCCTCTCCCAGGGCAGAAGACGGACGGGAAGACTTTGCACGCCTTTTGTTCTGACGCACTTGGAAGGTATTTTAGACAATTTAAACTGAGAAGGTGAGTTGAACTTTAACTAATAAAAAAACGGCCGGCAGGGAGCTCTCTAGATGTGAGCGGGCGTCTTTATGATCCCGGGCTCCGCTGTGCCCGGTGAGAGCCCGGGATCAGCATGTCGGCTGTGTCACAGGGGATCAGAGGGTGATCGTTACACGAGCTCCCTCCGCTCCCCTCTCCGCTGTCAGAATGCGGAAGTGGTGTATAATACATCACTTCCGCATTCTCGTGTCACTCAACGGCTTCAGACGCTGGAGAGAAGCTGATGGAGCAGATCTCCGCTTCATCAGCTTCTTCAGGGGGGTCCTAGGTGACATTAGGGGTCTTGGAGACCCCTGATGTCCCCATAAAGAGGACCTGTCACATATTTTGCCATCACATAGGGGGGTTTTATTAGCCCCCCGTATGTGATAGCAATAAAGTTTAGTGGAAAAAAAGAAATTAAAGTCCCCCACAAAAATTTTTTAAGTTACACATAAAAAAAGAATAAAAAAATTAAATTTGTAAGTCCCCACCCATACATACAAGCATGCAAACATGCGTCGGGGGCGCATACGTGCAAAAAAGACGATTGCGCCCATTACGCCGCACATGTTACACATCGCCACGAACGTCGCAGTGAGAGCAATAATCCTCGGGCCATCAATCACCGATAACACTAAACTGATGAGCGGTTAAAGCTTTTAAAGTGTCGTCTATGGCCAATTTTGGGTACGGTAGTTTTCTGCGATGTCGTGGGTGCGCGCAATTTTAAAGATTGACATGTTTGGTGTCTGTTTACCCGACGTGACCCCGACTTTTATAGTTTACCAAAAAACTGGGTAATAATAAATGTTTCCTAACATAATGTTAATCCAAAAAATTGGGTAATAATAAATGTTTTATCATTTAATATAGGGGAAACTGTTTTTTTTTTTTAAATTTCGGTAATTTTTAGTAAAAAAATCCGCCCCCCAGTGGTGATTAAATACCACCAAAAGAAAGCTCTATCTGTCCCCAAAAAAGGGTATAAAATTCATTTCAGTACAGCGCTGCGTGACGGAATAAATGTCAGTCAAAGTACCGCAGCGCTGAATACTGAGCAATGGCCGGGACAGGAAGGGGGTGAAACACCGCGGTCAGCAAGGGGATAAGCCAACCAAACTGAAGTTCAGCTCCCCTTACAGCGCGGTCAGTACGAGAATATTCCGGAATAAATACATCATTTCCGATGAAGAGGAAATACAGAAAGATTTCCCGGCATCGTCCGCATACACTCACTGCTGCCTTGCCATATCCATACAATGGTCCAATGAAGCAGAAGAGCAGAGAGGACACCCACCGGGTCACCCCAGAGCAGAGAGGACACCCACCGGGTCACCCCAGAGCAGAGAGGACACCCACCGGGTCACCCCAGAGCAGAGAGGACACCCACCGGGTCACCCCAGAGCAGAGGACACCCACCGGGTCACCCCAGAGCAGAGAGGACACCCACCGGGTCACCCCAGAGCAGAGAGGACACCCACCGGGTCACCCCAGAGCAGAGGACACCCACCGGGTCACCCCAGAGCAGAGAGGACACCCACCGGGTCACCCCAGAGCAGAGAGGACACCCACCGGGTCACCCCAGAGCAGAGGACACCCACCGGGTCACCCCAGAGCAGAGAGGACACCCACCGGGTCACCCCAGAGCAGAGAGGACACCCACCGGGTCACCCCAGAGCAGAGGACACCCACCGGGTCACCCCAGAGCAGAGAGGACACCCACCGGGTCACCCCAGAGCAGAGAGGACACCCACCGGGTCACCCCAGAGCAGAGGACACCCACCGGGTCACCCCAGAGCAGAGAGGACACCCACCGGGTCACCCCAGAGCAGAGAGGACACCCACCGGGTCACCCCAGAGCAGAGAGGACACCCACCGGGTCACCCCAGAGCAGAGAGGACACCCACCGGGTCACCCCAGAGCAGAGGACACCCACCGGGTCACCCCAGAGCAGAGAGGACACCCACCGGGTCACCCCAGAGCAGAGAGGACACCCACCGGGTCACCCCAGAGCAGAGAGGACACCCACCGGGTCACCCCAGAGCAGAGAGGACACCCACCGGGTCACCCCAGAGCAGAGGACACCCACCGGGTCACCCCAGAGCAGAGAGGACACCCACCGGGTCTCCCCAGAGCAGAGGACACCTACCGGCTCTCAACGTTCCTTTCCTTCAGCTGCTCCTCGTCCTCGTCTATCTGCTCCTCCAGCAGTTTAATCTTTGTGTCTCTCTGTTCCGGAGTCTCCTGACCAAAAAGTTTGCTGGTCACCCCTTTCAGGGAGAAAGTTCTCACAGTCTGTATGGAAATAAAGAATTCATTGTCTGGTGGCTATTGTATAGAAGGCAAAAATAAAAGTGTCCG